GAAATAGCCTAAGTGGGCCGGGTTACCCTAATTTGGAGTAGCCGTAGTCACGTGCCACGTGACTTCCCCGGATAACATTATACATAATCAGAATAGTTTTAGAAGCAATATTCATAAAAAATTTATGAGAAGTTTTTTTTTTAAAAAAGAAGAAAAGTTCACAATTTAGAAAAACATGAGAATGTAAGATTTCCAACATTGGTACGCACTACACATATGGCATCTTTCGGATATAGAATATTGCTATCTCGCACTACCATCCACTCGCAACTGATAAGTATAATACAACACACACTCATTATAATGAATTCTAGATATAGTAAAGATTCAGCCTGATGATTACATTATAATAAGAGTGAATTGTAATAAACGATGATAAAAAATAAAAGAAAGCTAATGATAGTGTAGAAGTAAGGTATCATTAAAATAAAAGTGCTATCATTATAAAAAAAGATTATCATATAAAATATGTTATTTTCAACTTTTACTGCGCCCTTAATTAATCAATGTGCATAGATTCCAATATCTGTTGCCAGAAGAAATATTTTTTCGGAGATTCAAATCCTCTTCATGAGTTCTATTTAATGCCCTAAGTAAAGTCTTCTTCATGTTTGAAAAGTCCTTCGGTGTATGTTTATCAATTTTCGTGACATTTTTATTGTATTTAAGGATCGTTTTATAAAGATATGAAAGGGAAAGGAATGATACTTGTAGGTCTGAATCAGCTTCATTAAGCACAATAGAATTTACGAGATGAACAGCGGCCGAATTGACTTTAACGAATGTAAAGGTAAATTTGTCATTAGGTTGTCTTTTGATACCTGTATGTTTGTCAAAATAATCTTTTTCTAAAAAATCTAATCTACCGCCAAGTTTAGCGTCTAGGTTTAATTTACGTTGAGAGATATTTACATATTCCGGAATTGGTGGAGGGTGAGGAACATTTTCAAAATGCGAACGATGTTTAGACCAAAAAAACATATCTAAAGGTTTAAGTCCAATCTCTTTTCGAAATCCGTTATCACAAAGAACTAATAATAACTTTGGGGAGATAACATAAAACCAATGAAAGGCTTTTTGAAATGGACCCATTGGCGAAAACAACATATTTATACCTTCAAAGATTCCAAATGCGTTGCTGGTCATAATGAATTCATCATGTTCACCAGCTTGCCAAATTGCGAGAAAACTATCAATTGTACGCAACTTATAATCCATTTTATCTACAGAAAAGACTCGCGGGTTGTCTTCAACATCTTCATGTGGTGTGTCTAATATTTCTCGAACATTCTGTAACCATACTTCCTGCGAATTTTTTAAATTGTGCTCCTGCATAAAAGTTTCTACCAATGACCAAGTAGCAGTATCAAAATTCTTATTTGCGAACTGATTTCTTCTATAAGGTTTACGGTAGTTCATAATGAAGAGAAACTTACGTAAATCATAAAGATTTTTTCTAAGCAAAACAATTTGACTTTTTGCTTGAGATGCTTCGATAATAATTTCTCTGACTACATTTGAAGCTTTCTCTTCAAGATTTGCCAATTTTTTTTCCACACGCATTGTGTCATCATGATTAAGATCTTTATACATGTTTATATCTCCATAAGTTTTCGCAACTAATGAAAAATCTAATTGATCCTTAGCTCTATCATAAATTTGAAGTGATTCCCCCTTCTTTTTCTCCTTCCAAAACTTTCGCTTCTGATCGAATTGCTTCCTATTACTTGTGAATATTCTTTCATAACGATCAATAGCAAAGTTACGTAGAATAAATCTTGGAATGTAATGATGATATTCGTTTTTTTGCATTGTTGTTATAGTAATATGGAATTAAGATGAACTAAAAGATGAATTAAAAGCAAATACTGTTTGTCCATTGTTTCTATATATTGTACGGTATTTACAGGTGTTACCTTCCAAACATATGACCAAAATAATTACACAAAGTGCTTAAATACAGAAACAATGTAATTCTGCTCGACCAATCAGATTACGAAATTTTAAAACTTAAATCAAAAGGGATAGTTCAGCCTCCATAAGTGCACACTCTTGGGACTAAATTTAACAACGTTCACTTAAGAATAAGGTAGCTGCGCGATTAGTGATGTGCCGCGTACAGTACTATACCAGATACGTACTGTACGTACGTACGCGAGAATTTTGTCGATCATTTTATATGTAGCCTGTTTTATATGCCAATTAGCCAATCAAAATTAAGCGAAATTCTATTCTGACCCGGGTAAAAGTGACCCATCACGTGACTTTGTTCGTGTCATGTAACACTAACTACTATGAAGGCCAATCGGAGGAGATTTGGCCGTTCAAGAAGTTCACGTGACCTACGCGTTTGAATCAGCCAATAGAATCACAAATAAAATTACCTGCAATTTAATTGGCCGCTTCGAAGCGAGGCGGTCATGTGACTTTATTGAAATGGTCACTTCATTAAATATACTATACTATATGTACTGTACGTACTGTATTAGGCTATCATATAAACGGCACATCACTATGCGCGATGCAGTCGAGCTAGAAACCAGGAACGAAAGCAAATATAGTAGTTAGCAAATAGTCCAAGTAACATACAAACGAGAACTGATCTAGCATCACATTAATATATTGTGAGACGTTTAATATACAGTATAGCAATTGACTTGCATTAGCTAATCAAGCAAAAGTTTATAAGGCATCATATAATAAATTATTAGGTTCCTGATATACTCATTACATTCGTTCCTGGTACACTCATTACATTCGCTCCTGGTATATTTAATATAGCAATTAATGAATCAATTGGAGGATGGAAGTATTTATGGTTTAACTCAAAACATAACAACAAATGAATATATGTTGGTATTTGACAAATTTGGTTCTAAAAGAAATAAAGATAATGGAACATGTGAAAATTACAAGCGATATAACACATATTATGCTTGATGTCAGAACATGCGACCTTCAGAAGACAATACAAGGATGGACAAGTGGAAATAAGGATATCGACGAATGCATTAAGGAATTTCAACTTAAAGTTACAAGACAAAACACGTAGATGTAATCGAATGGATTCCTTTTAATAGTTTAGTTGACATTCAAAAGAATGATTATGGATTTTTAGCAACATGGTTAGATGAAATGCGTTATGCAAATTATGAATATGCTAATAATAAATATGAATATATACAGTCACATTTACCATCATGTAAAGTGGAATTAAAATATTGACACGAACACAAAATAATTTAAAAGTAAGTTTATATTATTTTATTATATCAGATATCAGATCAGACATGTAGTTTATTTAAACTGTATGTTTAATTTGTATGTCAATATACTATTGTATATTTAATATGGAAGTTAATGATCAGTTAAAGGATATAAGTATTTATGGATTAACCTAAAATACAATCACAAACGAGTTTATATTGATATTTAATTTATTTAGTTATAAAAGAGATTATGAATACGGAACATGTACAAATTGCAAGCGATATAACACAACTTATGCTTGGTGCCAAAACAAGTAATCCTCAGAAAACAATACAAGGGTGGCCAAGTGAAATAAGAAATATCAACTTAAAGCTACAAAACACGTAGATGCAATCGAATAGATTCCTTTTAATAGTTTAGTTAAGATTCAAATAATTGGTAACAATGTGGTTAGATGATAAAAGAACAGTTTCATATACTTCTGGTAAACTCACATTCATGTATAACATCATGTGTTGTATAACTATTTTCCCCAATATCAGCAACAAAAATTTCCCATTACATTATATACAAAATTCTTTATGTTTACTTATATTAGAGTTAGGGTCTATGTTAGAGTTAGAATTTTGGAATTATACTAGTAAAACCAGATAAGAAAAATGTTTGTTAATATACAGAAGGTGGTTTTCTATATAAATTTGGTGTTTTGACAAAACAAACATTTGTTTTGAATTTTCCTAACTATGAGATTTGTTATTGACTTATTTTCATAGATTATTGTGTAGTGGTAAAAATTACATAGTAATTTTGTTGGTAATACTAGAGTAGTTTTAAGAGAAGCATGTTAAAATATTTTATTTATAATTCAATATAAATATATTATAAACCATTAACATTATAAATTTTTGTTTAAAATTAACAAGTTTAGAAGTTATGCAGAATTTAGATTAATGAGTAATAATCTTGAATTAACCTAAGACACAACTAATAATGAATATTTGATAGTACAGTATTTTAATATGCAAATAAAAAAAGCTTTCATCATGTCTTATCTTTAAATTTTAAAAATCTTAATTGGAAAAGTAAATTAAACCAGCTTGTTGATATTTTTAAAAATTTAATAAATGTATATAAAACAGAATTTGCTAATATATAAATTTTTTTAAAAAAATATTTATTTTTACTCATTAGTTTTTTTCAAATTTTATGTTTATTTTTCTCATTCTCTAGTCATATCAATATTCAAAAATCATTTTAAATAAAATTCCAAAGATTTTTTATTAAAAAAAACCTCAAACAATAAATAATATTATAAATGAAGAAAATAATAATAAGTTTGATGCCTGTTTTATGCTCGCAAAGTGTATAATTCTAATAAGGTGGTTGCACAACATTGTTAGCTAGAAACTAAGAACAAAAGCAAATATAGTTAACAAATAGTTCAAGTAATGTACAAACAAGAACTGATCTAGCATCTTATTAATTTATTGTAAAGCATTTGATATACACTATAGATAATCAATTCATATTACCTAATCAAACAAAAGTTTTATAAGGCATTATGCAATAAATTATATAGTTATTAGATTATTTGAAAATTATTTTGTTATTTTTTTGATGATCATTTAATCAACTCAATAAAAAATTCTATGAAAAAAAACAAAAAATGCTAAATATCAGATAAATACACAAATCAATTGCATCAGGTTACTAATTTTTGTATACAAAATTCTTGCCTTTAATATTGTTAGTTATCACAACTACAACATTATGTATGCATTTTTTGTATTCAAATTATACTTTAATTACTTATTTGAATGCATATGTATATAGTGATATTATGGTTCAGCAAAGACTGCAGTCTGGCCAGTCTTTTGAACTAGTCCAAGCAGTCTATGATCTGCAAATTAGAACTGGTCTAAATCAGTTAGTCCATAATAAATTCTGCATTTATATAATAATATATATTTATATAATAGTAAATATATGCAATAATATTTCTATTTTGATCTTACTTAAAATGAAAAACAATAGCAGTAGTATTAATATATATAAAGTGCATATGTTATATAAATTGCAATTAAGTGATAACTTTATATCAATTTATAACTTTTTGATATTATGTGAACAAGTTTTGCAGTACATACATACATATGTATATAGACCTATTATTCTAAATATATAACTGTGTAATCAAACTTGTTCTCAGATAAAGCACAATTCTTTAATTAAATTTGATTTACTGAAATTGGGTTTGTATAACATTCAAATGCTAAAAACAGAATTAAGATTAAAAATTTTACTGTTTCTTGACAACCCAACAAGATAATTTCTAAACCTGTTAATGTTTATAATTATCTTTTTAAAAGTACTTTTTTATTTTTATTTATATAAAAAATTACACAATATACAGTATAGTAATCATTAGAATGTAGTTTATTTATGAAATAAAAATCTCAAAATACTATTTATTTAAAATTTGATTAAAATTTCAGCTTTTTTTGGGGAAATTATATGATATTTTTTTTAATTTAAATCAAAATTTACAAAACAAGAATGTAAATAAAATCAAAAATACACTTTTTTAAATAAATAAACTTACTGCTACTTCATATTTCATATATAATGCCCTTATCATTGTTCAAATATAATATTCTAAAATTCAAATTACTTATTAAAGCATCTCATTTTATACTATTTTGCTAATCATGCTTCTTGTTATAATTACTGATAAAATCTAAAAAAAACCTTAAACCTTACAAATAGTATCATTGTAATTGATAAAATTATTTAAAAAACATTATGTATATATTTTTATATACTGATTAACTAATTTAAGATAAATCATAATACTTGATAAATAACAAAAAGATCACTAAAAAATAAATGACTACAAAATAAGATAATCAAGTGTATTAAAAAAAAAAAAGATTAATAATCTTGTGGCTATAAAAAAATTTTTTAAATAATATAAAATAATTTATTAGTTGTTTTTTTTTTGGTATTAAGGTGAGACCTTGCTTATATCTTTATTAGTAATTTTAGTTGTATATATTAATATACTACATATTAAGATATATTAAGATTGTATAAATAAAATAAAAACTACATGCAAGAATTGAAGCTCAGATTATTTTATCTGTGACCTAAACCAATTAGAGTGGTCAAAGCCCACCTAGATTTGTCATACTTATACAAATCTGGGTGGGTTTGATCTAGATTGTATAAGTACTTTATAAGGAATCTATAAAGTATAGATAATATGTAATTTGTTTAGTAT